TTTCCTATTTTTTCTACTTTACAACTTTCAAATGTTTATTTTGATAAATTAAGAACTTAATTCATACTAATGATTACAAAAAACGATCAAATATATAGGTGCACGTTTATGTGATTGGTTTTTATTTAGTTATTAATAAAATAAGTCGGCAGAGATTTACGGGAATGAGCCTAAATCACCGTTTAGTTGTGATATATTCCGAGAGATGGCGTCTGAATTGCTCAATAAAGAGTTCGGGGAATATGGCTATTTATTCATCTAACTGCCTATCTTTATCTTACTTTTATTTAATCATATCGTCTTAAGTGTAGAATATTACAGCCACTTGAAGCGTCTGTATGTTAGTGTCGACTATCAAATCCTTTACTATTTTAGAGACATATACACTCATAGATAAAAATAAAGGAAGTTGTACCTTTCATCATGAATAACAGGATTCAGACAATCACTCTGAAAGATACACTCATGGATAAAACTTAAGGAAGTTGTACTTTTTAGCATGTATATTGGGATTCAGACAATAACTCTGAAAGATACACTCATGGATAAAACTTAAGGAAGTTGTACTTTTCAGCATGTATATCGGGATTCAGACAATAACTCTGAAAGATACACTCATGGATAAAACTTGAGTAAGTTGTACTTTTTACCATGTATATCGGAATTCAGACAATAACTCTGAAAGATACACTCATGGATAAAACTTAAAGAAGTTGTAACTTTTAGAATGAATATCGGGATTCAGACAATAACTCTGAAAGATACACTCATGGACAAAACTTAAGGAAGTTGTACCTTTCAAAATGTATATCGGAATTCAGACAATAACTCTGAAAGATACACTCGTGGATAAAACTTAAAGAAGTTGTAACTTTTAGAATGAATATCGGGATTCAGACAATAACTCTGAAAGATACACTCATGGATAAAACTTAAGGAAGTTGTACTTTTTAGCATGTATATCGGGATTCAGACAATAACTCTGAAAGATACACTCATGGATAAAAATTAAGGAAGTTGTACTTTTTAGCATGTATATCGGGATATAGACAATAACTCTGAAAGATACACTCATGGACAAAACTTAAGCAAGTTGTACTTTTTAGAATGTATATCGGGATTCAGACAATAACTCTGAAAGATACACTCATGGACAAAACTTAAGGAAGTTTTACTTTTAGTATGTATATCGGGATTCAGACAATTACTCTGAAATATACACTCATGGACAAAACTTGAGTAAGTTGTACTTTTTAGCATGTATATCAGGATTCAGACAATTTAGGGAGTATCTAGAACCAGCTTTTTTAGTCGTAAAAGTTAAACTTATACTACAACACTGACGAGAGCCAAGAATCTGAAACTCGTGGTTGACTTTTCTTGATTTCTCAAATTTGGGCCAATGAAGTTGTACCTTTAACATGTATATCAGGATTCAGACAATAAATTTGAAATATATTTGATACACAGTGACCTTTATTGAAGACATACCTGTTAATCAAATGTAAACAAAATTACCTGTCCCAAATAAAAAAAAAACGATCAAAGACTTTCAATTTCCTTAAGTTTTGTCCATGAGTGTATTATGTAATAGTATAAAGTCAGGTTTGAACAAAGGTACTGGGCAGCCTGATTCCATCCGTGTTACCAAGCTTATTTTCCTGCCAGGTGGTGTCCAGGTGTGCAAATTAAACACCTGAATATGACGTCAGTTCGCTGCGTGTGTGACCAGAGAGAAACGGCTGGATATTTTGATGAAAAAACAGCATTGAGAGGAAAAAAAAATAAATTAGCAAATTAAATATGAATATATTCTAACTAAAGACAATATGCAAAATATCTGAATGTATATATATGTTTTGATATTATTTTTGTTGCAAAATAAATTGAGATGATTAGCAATGTCTGGATAAGGTAGGCTGTATAGAAGTGGGTTATGTTTGGTTAAGGTAGGCTATTGTTGATTGAAGGATTTGCATATTTGAAATTAATTTTGCTTTTGGAATTTTGAACAAATAAACAGGTGATATCCTGTCGGCTATTTTTGGGGATAAAAAGAAAGAGTTTAGAAATTTAGACATTAAATAATAGGCAAATAAATAATTTAAATAATCCTTGTCTCTAACTATTGAAATTACTGTAGCGATAGGCTGCAGGCTGGTATATTCTGGATGAAATGATCAGCTGGATTTGATGATTTTAAACATATGAGGCTTTATTCTACAATGGCAACATACAAAAAATGAACTAATTTCAATCTAAACAATCCCGATCTATTAGGGTAAGCTTGCTTCAGCTTCTTTAACAGCCCTTTTCTCTACTTCAGCCTTTTCACTTTCTTCAATGGACTTTTTCTCCACCTCAGCTCTCTCACTTTCTTCAATGGACTTTATCTTCTTTACCTTTAATTCTTCCTTGACTTTATCTTCTTTTACTTTAACTTTATCTTCTTTACCTTTAACTCTTCTTTAACTTTATCTTCTTTTACTTTAACTTTATCTTCTTTACCTTTAATTCATCTTTAACTTTATCTTCTTTACCTTTAATTATTCTTTAACTTTATCTTATTTTACTTTAACTTTACCTCTGCGCTACTATACCCTCTCCTCCTGTGACTATGCCCTATCCTCTCCTAATCTCCATACTCCCCCCCGATCTCATACCTTTTTCGCCGACTTTTATAGTCGTATAAGGTCACGTGGACGGACTCTGTGGCGAATCCCTTGGCGCGCGCCATCTGGAGCCGTCTTCCTGAATCATTTCCAACAGCTATATATCGCGACTAGTTCAGTTTTCATATTGAAACGATGGGAACCTATATGCTATGAGTTAGGTGTAATAAAGGGCATATGATAAGCAATAGAGAACTTGGGACTAATTGAAAAATAAAAATTGGAAAATGTAAAAAAACATTAAATATATATATGAAAAAATAGTACAAATGTGATATTGTACTGGGATAAGGTGCATAAATTAAGAAAAAGGCATCTCCTTATCGTGCAACTGAAAGTTGCTGATGGCTTGCGCCATCTATCGGAATAAATATCAACTATTCTCGTTGATTTTTAATTATTCCAGAATTGGCTAAATATACATTGTTGATTAATCAAAAAAAGCTAAACAAGGACGCGTTTCGGGCTGTTGGCTCTTATCAGCGTGGTGCAAGCTGTACCTCAACGACCAAAAAACTGGTCATTCAGGCATCCTGAAAAATCATGAAACGGGTAATTAAGGCCAGAATTGCATGAGAACGCTACACAATGTGAAAAAATAGTACAAATGTGATATTGTACTGGGATAAGGTGCATAAATTAAGAAAAAGGCATCTCCTTATCGTGCAACTGAAAGTTGCTGATGGCTTGCGCCATCTATCGGAATAAATATCAACTATTCTCGTTGATTTTTAATTATTCCAGAATTGGCCAAATACACATTCTTGATTAATCAAGAAAAGCTAACCACGGACGCGTTTCGGGCTGTTGGCCCTCATCAGCGTGGTGCAAGCTGTACATCATCGACAAAAAAAGCTTTTCTTCGAGGCTTCTTGAACAATAAAGAAATGAATATTCAGTGCCGTAAGGGCGTGAGAACGCCAAACATTATGAAAATATAGGATGAAAGTATAATTGTACTGGGATCAGGTGGCTAAATGAAGAGAAAGGTATTCCCTGATCGTGTAACAAAAACTTGCTGATGGCTTGCGCCATCTGTCTGAATAATGAGGATTTTAAAAATCCCTTGACGATATCATGAAATCAAAGTCTGATCTAAACTGACGAGGGTCAACTCTTAAAACATGGTCACTAGGTGAGAGTTCTGTATTTGCCAAAGTTAGTGTTTTTACCGATCCGAGTCTGCTAGATCTGGGTTTATTTTAACGTTAGATAGTTATCCTTTATTTTCATATTGTTCGCTAACTTCTTTTCGCTGGTTTTCTTCTGTTCACTCTTCAGTCTAGAGGCATAGTCAGCGCAAAATTGTTCTCCTAAAATGTAGCGAGCTTTCCAAATTCTAACTATGTAAAAGCACTGGTCTCACAAAAGCTCAACTCCTATTTTATTTCCAACCACCATATATATACAATAAATTTACACACGTGACCAGGCACTCCTGGTCAAATATAATATAAACATATATACACAGAGTAATATTTAAAATAATAATAAACTAACACAAATACTATTTATTCCGAAAGAGGGCGCTATACCATCATACCAACATTTAATCGCATGATCAGAAAGTTAACTCTATTGAATTCAAAATAGCTAAACACAAACTCACACTCATAGATATTATCTACTATTGAAACACGCAACTTCTAAACTATATTTTATAGACGTTATAGACTTTTTATATTACAAATTGTTATATAATGAAAATCAATAGTGTTTTATCAAAATAGAATTTATTTAAATGCATCATCACAACTGCAGAGTTTCTAATGTGTTTGAAGAGCTTTCATTGACATTCCAAGCTATAAAAATTCCCCCAAGATTTTCCCAAGTTCTCTAGAGGCCAAAACAAAGAAGTTGCCCCATAATTTATAATTTATCTTCTGCCACAGAGAATGGAGAGATCATAAATTTTAGAATTATCGCCCTCCAAAATTACATCGGTAAAAAGAAAAATTTGGTAGAAAACTGAATCGAAATTTTTGCAATATAAACATATCCCCGCCTGAAATTTCTAATTTTGTGAAACTGAATTTATCCTTTGTTTGATCAAAGACTTGAGAATATAAAGTAGAGTGTATTTAGAAATACTCTCGTAAAAAACTGGCATATTAACAATACATTTTATGTTAACCTATACGTAGACAAATTGGTAGTTTAAGTGGTATTTAGATTCTTATATTGGATTTGTTTTTTATAATTCAAATTGTCAACGCACAGATAAATCATTCTAATATACAAGTATCAGAGTCATCAATCAATTCTTAATTCTGTCACCGTTTGCTTTTGTGAATGGAATAAATACCCAAATATGGCCATTTCTCATAAGCATCGATGGTCCAGTGGTAGAATACTCGCCTGCCACGCGGGCGGCCTGGGTTCGATTCCCGGCCGATGCATTTTTTTTTTACATTTTTAAAAACTCATTTATATATTATACAAGAATGACATCCATGGCGCCAATTTTTAATTGTAACGAATAGTATTTGAATAAAAGCATTTAATCGGGTAAAACCCGGGCATTGCCCGGGTCATTCGGCTAGTGTATACATAAACATAAATTTAAAATAACACAATCATTATAATATAATATTGCCAATATTATATATATGTTATGAATAATATGTTTGTTGTAAAGATAAAGGATTGATAAGATAAAGGATTGAAGGTGCAGTCGTGATAATAAAAAAAATATAATTATTTCTATAAAGTAGTTTTTCATTTTTAATTACTTGAAGAAATATTACACATTAGTTATTTTCACAATTATGAATTGATGAAATTAATCCTATATTAGTGACTAAAAAAAAAGATAGATATTTTAACAATACATATTTACAACAAAACTGAAAGTCATTCTAAAAACGATGATAAAAAAGTATAATTATCTCAATAAATAAAAATAAAATATATTTTTTTAAAATATGAAATATTTGAGCTTTTAGATTATAATGAATATATATATAGAAGCATAGGGCGCCTCTCCCGTCAAAATGAACGTCAAAACCTGACGCCATCTATTGACCGTCGCCGCAACTAGCGGCCTCGAGTCGGTGACAAAGCCATAACACCAGCTTTGGCAAACTGAGAAGCGTCCACCTAGAGACCATGGTTTTGGGCTAATGGCCCTCGTCAGTCTAGGGCGGACTTTATTCCACGAGATCCACACGGGATCTAATGGAATCTTCACAATCTACCAAAGAGGTGTTTTGCTGTTGCAGCGACGGTCAATAGATGACGTCAGGTTTTGATGTTTATTTTGACGGGAGAGGCGCCCTATGCTTCTATGGATCAATTTCCTCCCGGAAATTTTCCATATATATATATTATATATCATTGTTGAAATAGAAAATTTATTTGCTTGTTTCGAAAAAAGAGTATTCTGCCAATGGTAGACAGTCGTGAAACCTTTTGAAAATAATAAAATAAAAACTTTTAGATCATTATTTGTTTTAATGTGGTGCTGTTAAAATAATTAGAGAAAGTACTACCTGACTTGAGGTGTGAGGAAGAAAGAAAATAGAACACTTAAAAGCGTATTTACATATTTACAAATATATAAATATATGATTACAGAAGATATTTCTGTAAAACATCATTTTTCAAATGAACCCAAGCCGAATTTCAACAATTGTCAAATTAAAAGTAAATTTGAACGTGTTTAAAAGAGTAATGTTTATTATTGTAATCTTTATTATACGTGTTTTCATATAAATAGGTTTAAAGTACTATAACAATTATTCAAATAGACATAAGTAATTAATATGAAAATGTTTTAGAGAGAGAAATTTATATAATAATTTCACACATAACACACAAGCCTCTTAGGAAGCCACTGGGACCAAATTTTGGTCGTAGAGGTACAGTCTGCACCACGCTGACGAGGGCCAACAGCCCGAAACGCGTTCGTGGTTGACTTCTATTGATTTATCAAGAAATTGGGGTTTGTCAAATATCACGGAACAAGTTAAATAAACGTTTAGTTTGTTCCTCTAGATCGCGCTCTGCCATCTAGAAAGGCTCATGTGATCCTGGTCAGGATATTCCTTTTTTTGTTTTTAAATATATTTTTATATAGATAATTAACTTAAAAAACGTATTTTATAAACTATCCATTTATCTTAATGCTACTATTAATTGGTTTTCATTATCCAAAAATTATTTATTTTATATTCGCAATTATTTTTTCTTAATTATTTTTCATCACATTGCTAATAACGGTTCCTAGAGACATATATTTTTCAAATATTTCAAATTTATCAAAAAACTCAAAAAAAAAAAATGGAGCAAAAATCCCTCGAAATATTTTGGCCTTTTTTCAAATCGATCATCTGATATCCGTTTTCTTTACTCTTCATCTAAGCATTTTAGATATTTCGTAGAAACTTATTTTTAATTATAGAAACGTTTATCTCTAGAACAGTTCCAATACTCATATGTTACTAATTGATTCAAATCTCCTGGATGTAAATTAATTAATGCAACAGGTTTCTAGAGTTTCTTTTCATTTTATTAACGCAATCTCTAGGTTTCGGCCATTTCTTCCCTTCTACAGCAGTATATAAAAACGAATAAACGCCGTTAAGATTCTATTTACTGTATCTACTGTACTAAACAGATTGATGTGGAACAAATGAATCTGAATTATTTCACTTAAAAATTTCTAAAAGATTTATAAAGTAGAGAGGGTCGGTGGAAGGGTAATATAAACCGTTGGGTTTCGACCCGGGATCGAATTCCTCATTGAACACTTTTTTCTAATTAGAAAAAAATGTTTCAAAATCGCCCCCGATTCTTGAAAAGGTCCAACTCACCAGCCAGTGCAAATGACCAAACTGGTACATTTGTAAGATCAAAGGTAGAACTGCTTTTCACATGTAGAGACATGTGGCTAACTTACAGTAAAAGAAGTTGCCAACTAATTCCCACCAATATTATCATGGCCTGTACCACGTTTCCTAGGGATAATAAAAAAAAAAAAAGAAAAACATGAAATATAGAATTAATGATGGTGATTGACACCAGCTGTATCTCTTACCTTCACGAACGCCACTGGAAGGGCGTGTAATTTGAAGGATGTCGAAATTCTCTATTAATTGCAATTCGACAGGCTGAAGCTTTCAGAATTCAACTCTGCGAACCTTTGAAGAATATATTACTATGGATCCTTCTTCAATTAATGCCTACAGTTCTAGTCTGAAATGAAAGAAAGTATGTTAACAATATTTTGAGCCTTTGCTTTATCAAGGATGGTCAAATACGCACGCGGGATCAATAGGAATTTCTGTTTGACTTATCATTGATTTACCTTCGTGTATTATAGAGAACAAGCAAGTCACACATACAAAGAACATCACCAAACAACAGCCGTCAGCAAAAGAGAGGAAGACTTCACTGCTGGCTAGATGAGCTTCTTCCTTCCTGATTGGTCCGTCCACCCCCCCGGTCTATAGGCGATAGAAGGTTTTAGCCTCCTCTATGTGTTGTCATAACACTATGTATATAAAATATGTTGCTTAAAACCAGAAGCATTATATTAAACGTTTCATTTGGAGTGGGTATGTAAATATGCCTCCAAGAACTGGATTCCTAGACTGAGGAGAAATGGAAAATCTACAGGCTTTCGTTATTGCCGTGATGATGACGGACGAGGAGAATACCAAGGACTGACCGAATAAGCAAAGAAGATGTTCTAAAATAGATCGAGGTGGGATACAACCTACTAGATACGATTGAAAACTAGCATGTTTGAACATCATGTCCGACACTCGGAGTGGTTAAAGGTATTGCTAGAAGGATACATGGATGCTATACCTTGAAGATAACGACCAAGCTTAGAGTTAATGGACAATTCGGGGAGAAGATCCTACGATACCATCAAAAGAATAATCATAGAAAGGAATCTAGAGATCTGAAAGACCAGGAATGATGCCAGCCATCAACTAACAAGACAATGTGTGACAATTAATATAGTTTTTTAACATCTTGTCAATACAATGCACAGTCTGCACTATTGTTTCAAATGGATAATTAGATATATAAAACTATAAATATATATATATACCCCAACAGAAACATTAATTATAGAACATAAACAATAGTATTTTAATAATATAAAATTTAAGAAGTAATCATATTTTCATTATAAACAGTTTACCACACCATTCTGCTTTATTCAAACCTCACCACTCGTGCATCACGTGGATGTTTACAGGGTTAGAATCCCCGAGGAAGATAGGTGAACAGCCTCATCGAAATATTGGAAGGTATAATAAATATTTTTGATCCAAAATAAGCGTAAATATACAGAATATTGAACTATGTATACAGTGAATTAGTACATGGACTCTCTGCCACCACTGCAGAGTTTAATGAAGAATCGCCAGCGTGTCTACAGCGACACCACGTATTTTGGCATCAAAGAGAATAAGAACAAGACAGAGAAGGTTGGCTTGTCACTAGTAAGTGATTAACTCGAGCTAGAAGTACACAGAGCTTATGAGATTACCGAAAGAAAAGCAGAATAGGTGCAATAATATATAACCGCCGTATTGGAGAATATATAAAACTAGCCGAATGACCCGGGCAACGCCCGTGTTTTACCCGATTGAATGTTTTTATTTAAATACTATTTGTTACAATTATAAATTGGCGCCTTAAATAAATGCATATATTAGTTAATAACTATAGCCTATGTGCTTTATCTGTCTATGTACTGTTGGCTTCCGTAGGCGTCTCTTACTGGGTAAAAGAAAGAGAGGATTCCATTTAGTTATTAACTAATATATGCATTTATTTAAGGAGCGACCCGCTCCAACACATTAGTTACAAAAACAACAAAGCGAGTGGGGGGTCATGAGGGGGGGGGGGGGGGGGGGCAAAGGTGGCGTGATCCTAGCCAACCAATAGGAGAGCGCCATTCCAAAAAAAAAAGGCAAACGGTGACAGAGATGAAAAAGAATTGATGACGCTCGTAACTGTATATAGAATGATTATAATGAAGCTATTCACACCTCTATTCGCATACACCTTTCATAAAAGATTATCACAATTATAAATCAATACGAACTGAAAAAAATATATATCTAGGAAATATTTACAACAATAATTTGCAAAGCTATTATTATGAATCATTTGTACAAATCTATTCATAATGCTAATTATATAATTCGCACTATTTTTCCCAACGGAATTCCTATACAGTTCCATCCAAATTTTATAGTCAGTCAATTTGTCACATCACACGGAAAATTACAGAAATACTTACATAAAAGAGGTTTATCAGAAACACAAAATTGTTCCTGCGGAGAAACTAAACAAACTGCTCTTCACCTTATCTACGACTGCCTGTACTTTGCAGAAGTGAGACATTGATTGTTCCCTGATCTAAATGATCTAA